AAATAATAATTCGCAGTCTAGGTATTCCGGAAATTGGAATTGCTCATATTACTCACGACTACTTTTTTGGGGAGCAGGAAGTTATTTTTTCAAACGTTCCCACTGGTTCGCCTACAATTTGCAAAAAAAGTGCACAAGAGCGGATTTTCTTTCTTGAGAATTCCATATCACATCACTTGTTATCAACCTTCCTCTGGTGGCATCCAGGACAGTCAAGCCCTCGACCACCCGCACTGTCCTCATTGCCCCTTTGCCTCTGTTTTCTCGCCGCGTTCGTGGTGTAATGGTCAGCATGGATGCCTTCCAAGCATTCGACGGGGGTTCGATTCCCCCCGAACGCAGATTTCTTTTTTCTTTTTTTTCTTTTATATCTTTGCACTTCTAGACATCAGGAGTTGAATATTTACGCTCTTTATTTTCACCTGCTGGCCCTAATTATGTTTGTATACGAAACACCATTTTCTAGCTTTATCCTCTATTAAATTCAATAGAAAATATAAAACGCAAGAGAATTTTGTCCGGATGTCCGGATGTCCGCAGAATGGAAAGAAAGAGAAAGTTCACGAGCAAAACTCGAACTTGGGACCATTTGAACGGTATTCACGTGTTTTCCCTACTGCGCCAAACCAGCATGAAAACTTTAACGCAAAAAGAAACAGATAAAAGAAAGCTCACGTGAATAAATTCGAAATTTTGTGATCATGTCATTTATAGTGAGCGGCGTAGCCGCGAACAGTCAAGACTGCAAATGCGCCGGAGGCGCAGGGGCAGTCTGGTTCAATAGAAAACTCACCGATCGGCAAGTTTGACAGCCGACGACATCCTGATTTCGGCTGATTTTTCGTTTTCTTTTTTTAGTATTCAGAACCCAACCCGTTTTGCACCTGAAAAAAAATCTCAGAACATTCAGCGCAAGCAAAAAAAAATAGGAAAAAATTTCAGAAAACAAGAAAAAAAAACTCGAAAAGAAAAGGAGAATGAACGGCACACGGAAAAGGTAGTGAGGGGGAAAATGTGATGGTGATGGTGAAGAAGAGAGACTAAACGAGTAGCACATAAAGAGGAGAAAGAGGAGGGAGTGGAGCAGCGGAGCCGCCGCCGAGTCTTTGGGTGTCTATGGTAACCGAGTAGGGGGCTGAGCAAGGGGAGAGCCGCTATAAGAGGGAGAGAAAAGGAGGAGGGGACAAACACGGAAGACGGGTTGAAGATGGAATACGGAGAGCAGGTGGGAAGAGGTTCTTGTCCTTTTTAGGAACAGGAAATTAGATGAGGATTCGGAATTGGGAAAATGTATACTTGTGACCCGAGGCCCGGACGTTTCTCCTCGTTGGGCTGGTTGACCCAAGATTTCACAGGTTAGGAGAATGGGAGCAGACCTAGTATAAAAGTCAGGAAATTCAGTCTTGTAGAAAAATTCTTCATCGAGCGGTACAGACTTCATAAAGAACTGCTCAAAAGTATAGGAAGACTTACATTTTTCAGTAGATTTCAGCTTATTTGGGCTGACTTTGAGCTTGCGTCACAGTTTCAAAAAGTTTTATGTGCCTATAAAAAATTCCGGGTTTACGAGGATAGCTAGAACTTCACTTTTGTAGTTGACTACTTTTTTGTGCAACCACTTTTCAGTCAAATAGAACTCGCCCAACAAAAGTCTCTTGAAACTTCCGAAATTTCTACGAATGATTTTTTTTTCAGGTTGTTGGTTTAGAAGAGCTCTATCTGCCCGTAAAGCAACTGTGCAAAAAATAGTCAACTACAAAAAATACCCTATCTATTCTTGATTCACCCAAAAATTTTTTGAGCCGTGTGAAAATTTTTGACGGTGTAGAGCAAAGCCAGCTCGAATCAGCAAAAATTACGAAATTTTAGAGTTAAACTTGAAAATTGTTGTTCAAAAATTTCCAATTATTCCTTTTCATAACATTTCTGATATAACATTTCCATAAAGTTCTTAGCAGTAATAAGATATTGCGAAATGCTTCGAAAAAAAGTTATCAAAGTGACGTTTTTGATTTCAGAAACTCAATTTTGCCTTGGATTTATGAAATCAGTTGTCTTCAAGAAAAAGGGAACGAGGTTCCTACGCTTTTCCCACGACGTTTTCCCATATACATATCAAAAAATCTGTCATTACTCCAAACAGCTCACGCGACTCTCCTGCTCAACAGAGCTCTTCTCTTCTCAGGTGAGCCACCGGAGGGCTCAAGCTGTTATGCTGCCCTTTTGCGGAGAGTAATTAGTGGAGAAAGAGAGAGTGGAGAAGAAGAAGACGGACTTGTTTTGAACATGCGCATTTTAGATGGATAGGTATTGACGAGAGAGCTTTGCAGAGCTTATGTAGGTGGGGGGAAAACAAGATGGGGGATAGGGAAGATAATATATGGATAATGATTTTATATTGGACATAAACAGGTCTAATAATACTGACTGAGCCGAGTGGTGTTTGGCGATTCTGACAAACAAAATATAAGAATTCAGGGAGGAAGATTTTTCTCTGATTTGATGATCTGTCTTGGTTGAACGTGTTAAGAAAAGGAACAAATTGGTCCTAGGACATCGAGGCACACAAAACACATCATGCGAAAGCGAAAATAAAAAGAAAAAAGAATTCTGCATTTTGGGGGAATCGAACCCACGCCGAATTCTTGTTAGCCAACATACTGCTGACCATTACACCACGTATGCATCGGCAACACTCTCCTCTAGGCCCTCTTACCCTCCAGTTATCAGCAGCGTTCGTGGTGTAATGGTCAGCATGGATGCCTTCCAAGCATTCGACGGGGGTTCGATTCCCCCCGAACGCAGATTTCTTTTTTCTTTTTGTTTTTATTTTTTCCTAGAGTTTTTCGTGTGTCCGGTTGTCCCAGCTTCTATTCTCACAAATCATATCAGGTTGAACTGGATTTTTTTGGCAATTTTCGACTTGCATGAGAACTTTCTTAATAAGTATTCAAGACATCTGAGGATCTTAAAAACATCACGTATCAAAATCCATAAATGCTTAAAGTGCGCTCTGATTGGGTTGATGAAAAACTCGATTTATTGAAAAATATTATATTTAATAGTATTGGAAACAGGCTACAAATTTCGGGAACTTCAATTTCGATATTGGCCGAGTAAATTTTAGTTAAACAGATCTGTAGAGGGAGCCCACTTTCCGACATGTGCCATACGTGAGTCTATAATCAGCAAAATTACAGTCTGCAAAAAATGTGTTTATTTATAAAAAATACAAATCACAGAAGTAGAAAAACCATTTGTTCACTGAATAACCTCCACGAATTGATCCCGTGTTCGGTCCCAAACTATGAAGAGCAAAGAAATCTCGGAGAAAAACAAAACGGCCATCTGCTTATCTTCCTGTCGCTGCACTTGCCATCCTCTACGGCAATCAAATGTGACCGATTTGTGTATGATGTCCATAATTCTGAAAACTTTAGTTGCTAATTTTGGAAAATTAATGTAGGCTTACATCGTCTTATACTTGAGTGAATAGGGCTCCAAGGACCAACGCCTGAGTTGAAAATGATCGATAACTTTCTGCGTGTCAATCGGACGTGAGAAGAAAATGTGAAGACATTTTAGAGACCGCCGCTTGTTCAGAATCCACATTTTCAAAAACGAAACGATATCCCGTGTCGTACATTCGGCTTTACAAAGTTGCAACTCTATCCCTCTGAACCTCTTCATGATAGAAGCTGATAACTTAGAAGAGTTTCGACAAGAAAGACCTGGAAGCTGGTAAATCTTTGAGACTACACTCAGCCTCCCAGTTATTTCAGGTTCGATAAATGCACTGATCTGGCCGGGATTGTTTCTGAAAAACTCTTCCAGAAACTTCGCATCGACTTGTTCGCCACGAATGCGAGTATCTTTAACGCCAGGAATGTGAATCTGTTTTCCAGGACGCTGATCGATAAAGATTTGTAGTTGTATAACTGGAGAGGAACGGTTAAATAATGCGGTGACATGTTCTAGAATAGCGTTTTTAACAGATTTCGCGGAGGTTGTGCGGAAGATTATTTCCATAAAATTTCTATAAAAGCCCAAAAGCTTTTCTTCTTGCCATTGGAAACTGAAAAACATGAAATATTTTTTTTTGGTTGATCACAAAAAATCTCACCTAACCGATTTCCGAACGCTACCAATCCTTGTAAAATATGCCGGCATAACCGTAGGTAGGGCTCTCGCCGACACCATCACTTCTTCTCCAAACACACGCTTCCCCGCAAAAACTTGTATTAACTTAGATGTGAGAGAGTATCGAACAATTTTAACATCTTTCTTTCGATAGTTTTCGATGAACTTACGAATTTTCATTGAGCACAATGAGAAATAGAAAACATCCATGTAGCTCATCTCTTTTATTATGGCAAGTTTGATCAGAGCGGGGAATCGTGTGAATTTTATAGTCATCTTTTTTTTCTGGGTAGCTGATAACAAATATATGTTTGAAAATGAAACTTAGAATAATTAGATTCGAATGAGAGTATCGATCGAACGTCGTACACAGTACAGAAGGCAGGTGCAGGATTAGAGGTCAGGTCTCATCATCACCTGTCAAGAGATTCTGGGAATCTAGGGGACTGTGTGCGCTAGAGCAATGTTGTTCTATATTGAGCAAGTTTTTCTAGACAGGGCAGTTAACAGATGCGAAGTTTAATACTGGTTTGTTATCATTTTTTTTATACAGCGGAGTGTGTCCGTTTATCCTGACAGACAAAAACCCTCATGATGCCAAAAAAAGAGAAAAAAAGAGAAAAAAAATCTGCGTTCGGGGGGAATCGAACCCCCGTCGAATGCTTGGAAGGCATCCATGCTGACCATTACACCACGAACGCGGTGATTTTCTCAGCTTCATGCGTACATGAGATCGAGATGGTTGTAGGCGAAAACTTGATCTTCTGAATAGATCTTCCTCACCTGCACTATGCCGAACATCCAGTTTTCTTCTATATCCGTCATGATCTTCTTGCGGATCCAAGCTAGTAGAAATCACCGCGTTCGTGGTGGTATGGTCAGCATGCATGCCTCCAGCATTCGACGGGGGATCGATTCCCCCCGATGGCAGATTTATGTTC